TCGTAATGGCTTATTGAATGCCATGTGGCCTGCACAATGAATTTCGGTTTGCAGCACCGAACGCTAGAAGTCTTGGTTGGGCTGGACGAGAGCCGATCCGGAATTTGACCTCGGACCGCATGCGTAGTGAGCTTGCCATTTGCCGCTACACTGCTGGCGCCAACAACGTTAGGGGGTGCCATTCTAAGAACCCTTGTGCTAAAGCCACTCCAAGAACCCTCGTGCAAAACTGAGACTACTGCCCTTTAGATTCCCCCCCCCCTCAAGGTTTTTAGGGTTTTTGGCTCAATACTACTTTGTAATAGGCAAGCGAGCACCTCGTGACCACAAACAAAGAAAAAAAAACAAAGTGAACATCATAATAATGCTGAGTAATGGGCTGAAGTATTAATCCTAGGCAGAGCTCAAACCCGTTCTTCCACGCTCTCCTTGAGAAAGCGCTATCCGGGGCGCCACCAGGGCCGCAGTTCCTCGCTGCTTAATTGCCTTCGTGCCCTAGCCCCCCCCCCCCAAACCTTTCAAAAGTGAAAACACCTCAAAGATGGGCATCATTTCAAATACTGCGACTTCTAATACATAAGCAACTCCAGCCATTCCATGCTCTGCTTCTGCCAACATGGCCAGAAACACCATCACCAGCGCGAGGGTGTGCAACGGATAAAAGTACGGGGGAGTTTATGATGGACTATTGATCGAAATATACCAAAACCATTGGAAATAAAAAGAGGACAACATAAACTTACGTGGATGACAGGAATTTGTCGAGAAGTGATATAAATTTTTCCTTCTGGTCAAGATACAGTACTGCAGGCTTCGTCAGAGAATAGACATGATCGTAAAAGTTAGGATATTCACTAAAATTCATAAGATGAATCAAAGGAGGATGAACCATTCAACAGTTTAACTTACAAGTTATGCGACACTATAAGCTTGAAAATCGCAGCCAGAGAGAGTATCGCAAACATATCACCCTTATCAAATGCCTGAAAGAATATTGACTTGATGAACATTTTTCGATATATAGACTTCATGATTACCTTGAAAAAGAATTCCGCTGTTTTATGAGGTTCATCAAGTTTGTCTAGGACATTTTCGGTTATGTGCGGTATCATTACAATAAGTACTTTGGGAGGAACCTGCAAGAGAAAGTTGGTGTTAGTTACACATCCTAAAGAAGAGATGAATGCCTCGTCACTGAAAAAAGTGGAAAATTAGAGAAGAAAACTCACAGAACACCTCATTAGACCAATCCAAGCTTCTTGGAAATTTTTGACCAGTTTTCTCTTTCTCTGTCTTCTAAGAGGGTGATCTAAACATTCAGTATCAAAGGTTTTCAGCAAAGAAAATCAAGTGTTTATCACTAAAACAAAAACTAGAGAAATAAGTCTAACTTGCAAACGTTGAACATTCGTGGTGTAACTGCTTACGTGCCTGGATCGGGGATGAACTTGAGGAAATGAAAGACATTAAACCAGGTAGAGATAGAGTCACATCGGAAATGCTGGAATAACAAACATTCACTAAAGAATATAGTTATTTACTATCACTGCAATAGTTTATCCACATCTGTTTTGGAGTTGAAAAAGCGAAGAGAGTTGGAAGTATTAGAACATCCGATGCAGAATCTGACTGCCACCACAACATTCGGTCATGGACCCACATTCCAGTATGAAAAACTCAAAGCACTCGACGAAGAGCAGGAAGATAGAATATGTTGACCTCAGTATAACGGCAGCAGGGGTTCTAAATAGTGAAAGAATGTCCAAAAAACGAAGTAAAACGGTGAACGTCATGCGAGAATGCTTTAACTCTGCTGGGGAGCGGATGAGTTTGTGGCTAACGTGGGACAATCTTGGACGAGTTCACCGTGGGCGTCATGATAACAATGACTCCCGATAGATATCCGGCTTCACGTAGTTTTGACGGAGCGCCGGATGAGATGACGTGCCGGCCGACTTACATTTTGGCGCGGTGAGAGTCTGCTTTCACCGTCTCTGTCTACTAAAAGAACGCGAAACATCGACATGATATATGCTGCGCGCTGCCGCCAAAAATGTTGCAAGGTAGGGGACGCACTCTAAATGACACCCTGTTAAGCCTTTAATGAATTCATACATCTCAGGCATCCGAAAGCGCGAGCTCGATTGTTTTCAAGAGAATGGACACGGCAGCGTTCAGACTTCGCGATACTCGTGCTCTTTGGCGCGCGCTACGCTAAGCAGCAGCGCTCCAATTCTACAGAGAGAATGCAGCCGCAGACGGGAATCGATCGCTGCTGGCCGCAGTGTTCTGAGACAGTATAAGATAACAAGAGGCAGGCGCTGCTTTCACATGATCTAGTACTGTCCGAGACTACGAGATTATGCAACACGTACCCTCTTTTTCGTGCATGCTCTCTTAATAACCAAATGGCCGGGTGTCGATCGATTCTCGCTTGAGGCTGCGTTCTCGGTCTATGTTATTGCGGGCTTTTCCAATTGCTGCTGCTTTACAGGCCAGTCAGTGCGCGTCGGGCTTGAAGTTTGGACGAGTTTGTATCAAATTGTGACCTGAAGAGCATGGAGATCTTTCTAGGAGAATGGTGAATGCCTCCCATATGAAGGGTCTTGTTGAGTCCACTCTAGAGAACTCCTTGAGATGAACACTTTGCCTTCAAGCAGGAGGGTTCCCCATCTAATAGGCGTTCCGATCCCATAAGCACTCAGTTATTGTGCATTTTTTTCCTTTGAATGTTTAATATCACAAAAAAATAAAGATTGTCTCTCACCAACAACTGATTTGGAAGAACGCGAAGTATCTCGAAGAGCAGATCACAACAAGCAAATACTTTACGTGTCAAATTTTTCATAACTTTAACATTGATCTTCGTGCCGCAATCAAGGAACATGCAGAAACCCTTAAAATATCTTTACATTTCAAATCACAAAAGAGAATGCTGAATTCTTGACAAACCTGGACGAGATTTCTGAATGATTTGGTGGTTACAATACTACCCGTTTGTTGACATCTTTCATACGGTTTCATTTTGCGTATTTGGTCGGAGAGATCCTACAAGGCGTGATACTGATAACACATATGAAGCATAAAAAGTATGGCAAAACACAGAAAAATGTTTGGCGCTGTTCAGTTTAGAAGGGGCCAGGGGTGGACACTTTTGCTAGTTCATTTTGCTAGATCCTGTGAAATTACCCGTCACACCTTGATGAGACCTCTAAATTCCTGTCAAGTGTGGATGAAGCTCCTGCTATAGCAAAGTTAACGAGTTCACAGGTCTCCACGGTTAGCATCGGCAGTGACCGTGGGAAAGCAGTAATATGCCCCACCAAGCCGAATTTTGCCAAATGTTTCTCTTAACTTGCACAATCACTAACACTAGCATTACAGAATGAGGAGATCGCTCCCTAAAACTTACTCTTAGGAAGACTTCCAGGCAAGTCCTTTTGCACTGATTCGCTTAGGTAGAGGGGGATGGGGTAGGGTGTCCGCCTAGAAAGGGATGTGTTGCAGGTCCTGCGAACATACCCAGTGAAAGGGCAAAACCGGTGAATTCCTTTGAAAGTACAAGACATTACAAAATTGTCCTGAGAGATTTGAAAAAAAAGTGAGCAAAATAGGTCGAGAAAGGTGGGGAAACGGTGTGAGCAGACGACTTATGACATTGGGGTAAATGAATCTTTCAAGCAGTTCATCCTTTCAGCAGAAAGGAAATTCGCCACGCATCAAAGCTGCTTTCTCAATGACTTGCCAAAAATCATCATGCCCTAGCTCACAATTGCTTTCTGCACTAAATTCGGTCCAACATTAAAAAAACACCGCGTCAATGGCGTCTATGTGGAGCTGGTGCCTTTTCATTCCTTTGCAAGATCTAACAGATTGTCAGAGATGTTGGTAGGAAATTACAAAATACCCTCCCACTCCCTCCTAAACAAACTTTGCGCACATAAGGCACTACACATCTCTCCCACTCCTCTCTAAACAAACGTTGCCACGATAAGCGATCATCTAGTTGAACCCACCTCAGCAAATTCAGCTTTCATCAGAATAATCTTCCATTCATGCGCGGATGGGGAAGACGGCTCTTCCCGGTCTAGTTCATATTCACCATCGCCGTTGACTTCCGTCGTTCCTTCTCCATCACACTCCCTGTCACCTTCGTTTTCACTGCCGCTGTCACCTTCACTGGTCGCGTCCTGCAACACGAATATTTTAGAATGAAAGCAAGTATAAAGCGAAGAGACGTGAGATAACATATTCTACATGCTTCAATTACTAAAACCTAGTTCCTGTTTAGAGTTTAGAACTTGGCAGTGTCTGATATCTGATGATTCTGAACAAATCCGAACGAAGACGTCTAAAAAATCCGAAAACAATGGGGACTAGTCTAAGGCAGTGAATCAAAGGGTCCGCAAAAGTTAGACTGCTTATGGGAAAATACTCGGCATTTGGTTTTTATTACGAATAACAGCTGTTTTTTACGCCCGTTTTCGTTGCAAAAGTTATTAGGCCGCATTCTCATCTCAATAGCTTAGAGTCATGAGCTGACCATGAGAGGGTAAGAACTGCCCTGATGGTGTAATGGATAACGCACTCGGCCCAAAAAATGTTAGAGGTGCGGTTTTCGGGACTCCCACCTGGGGTCAAGCCTATTGCCGTAATTCAGCGTACTCGCGACTCAGCATCATTGTGACCACTAATGGTTTTCCTTTTTATTATGTACAGGACTACGGACGATATTATCTTAACAATTCTATTATGAAAAGATGCAAAAAAAACTTCATTCACACAATTGTCAGAGGGTTGATACACTGTTTTCCAAACTAGTGGAGAGTGAAGGGGGGGGGGGGGAAATGCCTTTTTTCTAGTTATTCTCCATATCTTAACTGTTGCGATAAAGTTATTGGTCTACTAGACTGTTTAGACTGACGGAACAACACTTCTAATTTCAAGATGGGCAGTGTACTGAAGATAATACCATCAAGACAGTGTTAGAGGGTTATCCAGCTCTCCATTAAAACTTTCCGCAGCCTCTCCATTACCTCATTAATTCACTCTACTGACGAATCCGCTTCATGTGCGAGAACCAGAACGTTTGTCTGGGGAGAGGAGCTCTGGAGGGGACGAACGTAGTACAACCTTGTTTGCTGCCGATGCTGGGGCGTGTCAGGGGGAGCTAGGGTTTTGGCGCAACGACGGCGGCCCCTTTTCCATCATGTTGTCCCTTTGCCAGTTTAGGCAATTGTGGCGGCAACGAAGCTGGGCGCCGCGCCAAATCCACCCCCCCCTCCCCCTGACAACCCCATCTATCAGCAGGGAGTGAGATATTTTGTGCAGAATGTGTATTTTGGGCATGATTTCGCATTTCTGCGAGAAGTGTTTCACCAACTCTAAGAAAACGTTGCGATAGCAATATCTGAAAATGAGCAACAGTACCTCATCCGACTGCTTTCCTGAAGTTTCTTCCAAATCTTCTTCCTCCTCGTCGCTCACATGTCCATTGTTGCCCAATTGATTCGACAGTGCCATTCATAACAGTCATAGTTACTTTGGTGATCCAGATCTGTACCTTGTAACCTTTGAATGATAACAGATTTATAAACAGTAATGACGACAGATACACTACAATAGCGAATAATTTGCGAGTATTTCTGAACAACTTTCAAAAGCAACAGGCAAGTAATTGGCACAGTTCGTCTTCGTGGAGACAAGAACTGGTAAGTTATCGAAACCTGCACAGCCATCTCATGAAGACATGCAATCTCTTGTAGCTGAAGTGGCTCATTTGTATCACGACGCAGCTTCACAAAAGTTCACGAGACCTAGATTCCAAAACTGAACCTGTCAGATACCATAGATTGGCGAATGTGCAAAATGCCCCTCCCAAGGCGAAAAGCGCCGATTAATTTGATGTGTAAGGCTCTTGCAATGGCTGGCTTCGGAACTGATGGTGAGTCAGGAATGGAAGCAAGTATCCGAGTTTAACCGAAATATCCCAATGCACTATTAAAAGCGTGCGATTGATAGCGTTTTTTGTAACTTTAGCAGAAAATTAATGCTTCGGTTCCAAAATCGATAACGATTAAAATGGACGTGCGCGAAACGGACTTTGAATCGTTTCTGTGCTTCGCTCATAAAATGCGGATCTACTGTAATTTACGCTACTTTTTTTCAGCTGCCTCCAAAATCTTCGGGAAAGCGTGCCAGTTAAACGTCATACATTCGAGCCCGGGAGTACCTCGGGTGGAGAGTAGTATAGTAGTTTGTGGCAGCAATGGTCATGCAGACGTTACCATCGGGTATAACAAACTCTTACTGTTAGAATAGTTTCGTGAACAGGGCACACCATCGTTGGGGATTCTCCAACAGGGGGAAGGGCCGTATCTGATCGCTGGAGGAGGGGGAGGAGGTCGCATTCGGTGCAAGAAAAAATTTTTTGATGCTTATTTTTCTTGTTTCACGGACGCTCAAAAGAGAGGGGGGGGAGGTCGTACGGACTTGACCAAAATCCCTACCAATGATGTCATGACATGTTGCGAGGAAAGGCGTCTCAGCACACAACCTTCAACGCCGTTTCTTCCACTTCTTTCCAGCGTTGATGGTCGTTCAAGTAGCTAGGTGTGCCACTTTGTGTGGTTATATAGTTGATTTTGTTTTTTTATAGTATATCCATTAATATACCTTCACGGACGTCGTATAGGCATATAAACGGCCGTACAATCACTGATAGCACGAATTACTGCTCTGTCTGGTAAGCTTGATCTATGCCCTCATAAAACGCTACATATCCCTTGCGAGAAGGTCGCGTTGAGGATCCCCAGCGAAGGGGTCGTATTTGCCTTTGGAAAAAAGTCGTCGGTTGGTTGACTTTTCTCTGTTTCACGCCTTCCCCCCCCCCTTTCGACGGCTTCTCGAAGCGAAACTGGGGTATTCCCTCGAAAAAAAAAGGTAAAAGGTGGTGAGAATTAAGGAAGATAGCAGGTAGGATGTAGGATGGGGGTCGTATCATAGAAGGGAATTTCCAGGGGGGGTATTTAGCAGAATTTTTCCTCAACGGCAGAACGTGTCCTGTTGCGAGAGTTAGGTTGCCACTTCCTCTGCAGTTCTGTTGGAAGAAAAGTGGAAATTCAACTCTTGCAACAAGAAGAGATATGGGGAGAGTTAGCTCGAACTTAGACCTATATACCTATTCTCCTTCCCTTCTGGGCTTATGCTTGGTGCTAGCTGCTCATTTCGATACGAAGGCAACTAGCAACAGAACATCGTGGATGTTCGGGTTTTGCAATTTCCTTATAACGAGACACAAAAGCGAAACCGAAAAGTTGTATGTGCATACTCCTCGAATTACATCTCGATCGACATTCTGGATGGAGAGCATTGATTCCGCACGCCGGAGATCTGGCCAAAAGCCCATTGAAAATCTTCAGCCAATTCGCCTTAAAAGGCACGCCCCGTTCAATTCGTTGTTCCCAACCGTCCTCTCTAGAGAATCGTAGCCCACCTTAAATAGGATGGTGGACTGTAACTAGTTTCGCAACTCAAAAATGAGTAGCGGCGCCCGCTCGTGAAGAGTCGGCCACCCCGCCCACCTGGCGACCACTACGCCCAACTTCATTTCTAATGGTTGCCTGATGGTGCGGTTGTTCCATTGCTGCTTCTCTCCACGTCGAGTGGTGAGAGTGAGGTGATAAGGGAAAACAGCTGATACCAACAAGTGAGAACTCGTGCGGCCGCGCCTTCTCTTCGCCTTAAGCACGTACAACCTCAGCTCGGCGTGGGTCCTATATAGGGCATATCCGATGATTTTTTTTCTTCACTAATGAACTACTTGCTACTTTGTTGTCACTGTCTGAGCCCCATAACTTACCAAATTGAACGCGGGCGCTGCATTTAACGAAGCCGATCCACATCGACTGCATGTAGACGACTCCTCGACCGCTTTACGTGGACATTCAGACTTTCAGCGATCGACGCCGATGACCTTCCCTTAATGTTGGCATTGTATCTTCACGAGTTCACGAGACAGATTTCATTTGTTTTGAACTCTTTCAGGTCGTGGCGCGAAGAAGCCGAGACGTTGGCCAAATAAACGATAAAAATGTTGGACGTCTCAACATATCCACTCGTGAGAAGATATCTTCAGGAACGTGTTGAAGCAGGAACCTACGCAAATCATTCCAACGTAGTGATTACGAACACAATATGACAGCCTTTCACTGGCCTGCTGTTTTTTTTTTCGTGGCATATCGCTCAATCTGGAATCGCTATTCAAACAGCAACAAGTTGCTCTAACGGAAAAAAAATTGGCTCGGCATCTATCAATGGAGGAACAAGCTGTGATACATCAGACGATGCACAAAGCAGTTCGACACAAAATAGGGCAAAACATTTAGTTCTTGGGTGTCAAT